GTTCATCTCTGTCTTAATTTGTAATTAAATTTTCTTGGAAGAAAGAAGGATATAAAGACCCACATCTTGAAGTCTTCATTTTAGGCTCTTGTACAGATGTCATGTACATACCACCCTATATATATTTATTTGTATGCATATTGAGATGAATGTATCGTTATTTCATGTGTAATGCTGATTTGTATACCTTTTGATCTACTTTATTTATAACTGTCACTGTAGGAATACTATTATTCACGTGTACCTTACCTTAGAGTAATTTTACAAATTATATAGGGCACTATTATAAATGTTGTAATATTATTGGAGCAGTTTTGTGCAACTGAAAAGAAATATGATCCCCTGATAGAAAATCAACAGATTATTTATCTGACAATATTTTCACATTTTCCTATGGAATTAGTTGTAAGATATGGTGATTTATTCTTGGAAATTAAATTTTACTCACATTATTTTGCAAGTCAAAAAATAAAATTGTGTAGCAAAATCAGTGTTATTTTAAAATCTTGTTAAACTTTGAAAAGCAGTCAACACAAATGTATGATATATTTTTCAAATAATTATTCAGGAACATATCTTTTAGTTAGTAAAACTGTGTTTCGATAACGTTATAAGGAACCCCAGAAAATGACATCACAGAAAACGAGGAAAAATGCATGAAATGGAGCATGGATTAAGGCAAATCATGAGTCTCCCCCAGAAAGTTTTGAAATTGTAGATGACTGTAGGTGGCATTTGAGCACTTTTGAGTGTTGTAATTAACAATTTCTTACATGAAATTTGTAGGAAGTTTTTCATAAAAGTTTTATGGAAACAATTGAAAAATATTTTCTTTTGCTTTATCTGTTGATGTTTCAAATTCAGTGAGACTTGAAAACAAATCCACACATTACAACTATCATTTTTGGATCTGTTTGCCAGTTTCAAGTATTTTTTATATTCATAATAAAACAAAAACAAATGCGAGTTTCAACTTTATTTTACCAATTCCTCTTGGAAATTTATGAAATATATTTGTTAGGAAAGTGTGAAAAATCTGATCAAATTATATTTTGAAATTTTGTTTTTAATTAAAAATAAATAATAACTACAATTTACAACATCAATTATGTGAAGATAATCCAATGAGTATATCAATTTAAAAATTACCTCTTCAAATCCTCAAATGAATAGACTTAAGCAGGGTTGAGGAAGCTGCCTGCCAGCCTGAACAACATGTTGTTAAAATATCGGAAAACTGTAAATAATCAACACATGTAGAAAACTCAATACAAAAATTGCATTGCTCCAGATGTCGAGAGGTGTTTCAGAAACTTTTTTTAATATCATTAAATTAAAAACAGATACCAATTTAAGTATGAGAAGTCAATTCATGGGCACGAGCCAGCTTGGGGCTTGTCACTGAAAGTCTCTGTCTAGATATCTGACAGATATAAAATGCATAAGTAGAATGTTTAAATGTTGAGTGGGTGTAAATATATATATCCCAATTTCACCAAACTGGTCAAAAATGTTGTCTAGAGAACTGCAAAAAAGTCAAACGAAAACAAAACTTTTTTCCATCATAGTTTGTTTAATATCTAATGTTCTGTACATCATTACAGGTCATTTTTGCTATGTATATCTCAAATTTTCAAAATTTTGACGTAGAAGTTGTTACAAAACTGTCAACACTTCATTTGGATGTTGTTTTTCGTACACCACAAGTTACCCCCCTTTATGAACACAATGTGAATGTCTCATCATTATCGCCAGGAACATTGCCGTTATCTAAGAATTTCTTTTGAGTATTTTTGAAGTTCGCAATTAAATTATACTGATGCTTGTTACGAGACACACCTAATTATCATTTTGAAAGTTGCAATTTCATGAAAATTCACGAGACTGATAGGGTGTTCCTCGCGACTGATGACTTCACTTACAAATCGCAACGTGATTCAGAAGTTACCGACAGAAAAAACTTGCTAACAGTTTAGATAAGATTAAAAGCAAATATGAACATTTGCCAATAACAGTGCCCAAATCACTCGTATTTCTGTTCTGGGCGACAAAGAAATCGTTTATATTTTTTTCCTTTCTTTGACAGCTCCATTTTTCACCGATTTGGTTCTATATCAATAAGACGTTTGTCAGTACTGTTGCGCCTTGGTATAATTCAAACGCATTGGTGATCTTGCTGTTTTATGTAAACGATCGAGAATAAAAGTAGAAACGTGAAATAGACCCGGAAGTTCTGATTGATTCTGTCCAACTGGTTAAGTCAATGTTGTTGTTTGCTGATATTGATCAAATCATCACGGTATGGATATGTCAATTCTGTAAAAAAAAACTCAATATTTCTTAAAGAATAGCAGGTTGTAGACACGGAAATAGACGGCTTTTAACGAGAACCCTGATGACAGCTTTGACATCAATATTATTATTTGCTCTGAAAGTCGCTCCAGATTGCTATGACATCAGGAACAGAGCATGTGTTGCCTTCAGTTTTGTGTGTAACCCATGTTAGATATTTTAGTATTGGAGTTTGCTCTGTTTTACATGACTTGTGTGACCTGTTGTATACGTAACCTGATCCAGTAAGTGTACACGTGTTCTGTGGAATGTGACCAAACCAGTCGGACGTGACTTTGACATGACCACACCTTAACACACAACACCTGCTTTACATGCCTGAGTTCCTATCATACCTATATCTACGTCACTTCCCTAAGGTAGCAGTATACAGTAGAGGGTTGTGGCCATGGGTGATATTTTTGCTAATTGGCTAACCCCTGTATAATGATATATAAAAAAAATATAAAAATAAAACTGTACTAAAATTGGTATAAGCATGATGAAGTGGGTTATGTGAGCTTCACATTTGTAAAAAAATAGATTTTTTTTGGTTCGAGAATAATATTTTGGCCATAATCCGAAAGGGTGCCTACACATGAAAAGCTAGCTTTACAGGAGGTAAACTTTTGACAACAGCACACGACGCAAAATTGCAAAAAATGAAGTTTTACGACTTTACTGGGACCCAGATAATTCTGCAACCAAGTAGGTAATCTTTAATTTCAGACAGAACTTAGGAAAAAAAATACTAGTTGCGGGGGTCAAATTTTGGGTCAAAAACAGCATTATTTGGCATTTTTTGGTAATTTTTGATGTGGTAACCATGGTTTTCACATAAGTGACATACATAGAAAAAAGAGGTTTATACACTTCTCAGTGCTTTATGTGTATTGTAAATATAATGCAGTTTACAAATATATATACATGTATATATGTGTTGTGTAGGGTTAATCTGCTGTGTTTACATTTCCTCGACATGTGCCTTGTTTTTCAGAGTCAGGCCATTTCTACTGTAGACTGCTACCTAAGGCTTTCTTTATTTGCTCTCCACTTTCTACTTCTTGTTCACTCAACCATTAGATGAGCGTGTGAGGGGTTCAGGTATTCGTATCATACCTATATCCACGTCTTGTTCACTCAACCGTTAGACGAGCGTGTGAGGGACTGAGGCATTCGTATGATCCCTATATCCACGTCTTATCCACTCAACCGTTAGGTGAGCGTGTGAGGGACTGAGGGATTCGTATGATACCTATATCCACGTCTTGTCCACTCAACCGTTAGATGAGCGTGTGAGGGACTGAGGCATTCGTATGATACCTATATCCACGTCTTGTTCACTCAACTGTAGATGAGCGTGTGAGGGGCTGAGGTATTCGTATCATACCTATATCCACGTCTTGTCCACTCATCCGTTAGATGAGCGTGTGAGGGGTTGAGGTATTCGTATCATACCTATATCCACGTCTTGTCCACTCATCCGTTAGATGAGCGTGCGAGGGGCTGAGGTATTCGTATGATACCTATATCCACGTCTTGTCCACTCATCCGTTAGATGAGCGTGCGAGGGGCTGAGGTATTCGTATGATACCTATATCCTCGTCTTGTCCACTCAACCGTTAGATGAGCGTGTGAGGGGTTGAGGTATTTGTATCATACCTATATCCACGTCTTGTTCACTCGACCATTAGATGAGCGTGTGAGGGGTTGAGGTATTCGTATCATACCTATATCCACGTCTTGTTCACTCGACCGTTAGATGAGCGTGTGAGGGGCTGAGGTATTCGTATCATACATATATCCACGTCTTGTCCACTCAACCGTTAGATGAGGGTGTGAGGGGTTGAGGTAATTGTATCATACCTATATCCACGTCTTGTCCACTCAACCGTTAGATGAGCTCCTACCTATATCCACGTCTTGTTCACTCATCTTTCCTAATGCTGTCTGTTTATTTGATTCAGGGAGTTCTCTTAAACACTTTATTCTCATTAATGATTAATACTCGAGGAGAATCTTTGTAAATTTAATTCTTCCTTGATAATTCTATTACTGTATTATTGAAACTTGACAAAACCTTGATACATAGTTCACAATGTAAAATATACATAAGATAGATTGATTGACAGTATTAATATTTTTGTTGTGTGTACGATCCTTTTTCCACGATTAATTAAATCACTGTTAATATAGAAACAGAATCCTTTCTGTCGCAAATTCAAATGTTTGCAAATATAACCTAATAATGTAATAATGTATGCCCATTCATGATGATATGCATTGTATTAGATTATAATGATGTATGCCAACTTATGATGATGTACACTGTGACAATGTATTCCTACTCATGATGATATACATTGTATTACACTGTAATAATGTATGCCCACTCACGATGATATACACTGTAACAATGTATGCCCACTCACGATGATATACACTGTAATAATGTATGCCCACTCACGATGATATACACTGTAACAATGTATGCCCACTCACGATGATATACACTGTAATAATGTATGCCCACTCACGATGATATACACTGTAATAATGTATGCCCACTCACGATGATATACACTGTAATAATGTATGCCCACTCACGATGATATACACTGTAATAATGTATGCCCACTCACGATGATATACACTGTAATAATGTATGCCCACTCACGATGATATACACTGTAATAATGTATGCCCACTCACGATGATATACACTGTAATAATGTATGCCCACTCACGATGATATACACTGTAATAATGTATGCCCACTCACGATGATATACACTGTAATAATGTATGCCCACTCACGATGATATACACTGTAATAATGTATGCCCACTCACGATGATATACACTGTAATAATGTATGCCCACTCACGATGATATACACTGTAATAATGTATGCCCACTCACGATGATATACACTGTAATAATGTATGCCCACTCACGATGATATACACTGTAATAATGTATGCCCACTCACGATGATATACACTGTAATAATGTATGCCCACTCATGATGATATACACTGTAATAATGTATGCCCACTCACGATGATATACATTGTATTACATTGTAATAATGTATGCCTACTCATGATGATATACATTGTATTACATTGTAATAATGTATGCCCACTCACGATGATATACATTGTAATAATGTATGCCCACTCACGATGATATACATTGTATTACATTGTAATAATGTATGCCTACTCATGATGATATACATTGTATTACATTGTAATAATGTATGCCCACTCACGATGATATACATTGTAATAATGTATGCCCACTCACGATGATATACATTGTATTACATTGTAATAATGTATGCCTACTCATGATGATATACATTGTATTACATTGTAATAATGTATGCCCACTCACGATGATATACATTGTAATAATGTATGCCCACTCACGATGATATACATTGTATTACATTGTAATAATGTATGCCCACTCATGATGATATACATTGTATTACATTGTAATAATGTATGCCAACTCATGATGATATACATTGTAATGTAATTTTTGATTGTTGTTGATTTATATTAGAGGCTGCTGATAGGGTTATCTCCTGTTGTCATGACATGATATATTTGTTGTTTGTTGACTTTTCATTTGAAATAATAAATTATAAAAATTGAAGTACTGTATTAATTATTAGACGGTTAGGTGCAGCCTTTGTCATCCGTCTGTCCAAAGTCAAATATTTACTTAGAACAACTATACTGTTAAAATAAGAGGCCTAAAGTGATGGCATTATTTAAGCAAGAGGGGAAGTAGGTTTATCAATTTCATTGTTGAAAAAGACCTGGACCCATTTGCAAGGTCAAGAGGTCAAATTTGATAAAACAATTTAACAACTTCTACTGATTAACAAAGACGAAGGGTGACAATGTTTGGCAATTAACATGTAGGAATGAAAGACTATCTACATCGTTCAAATGAATGACCTAAAGAACTTTCAAGGTCAAAGGAGGTCAGTTTATTTAAATATATACGCAACTGTGGAATAATCAAGCAACCTACTGTTCGCGAGTAGCATGTACCCAAATATATTACCTTGACCCCCTTCCATGGTCATGGAAATTGAACCACTTCTGAATAACCAAGAGGCATAAAGTGATGGTATTTGGCACATAGCAAGCTGGGTCGAACTATTTTAAAGTTTTTGTTCAAATGAATTACCTTTACAACTAAAAAAAATCTAGTTTCAAGGTCACAAGGACCAAATCTACACAAATATTGAAAAAAGAAAAAACATTTTAAATAAACTGTCTAATGAGTTTTTGTTTGTTGCATGCTGAGATTAAGTGGTGTTCATATAAATGACCTAGACTCATTTCCAAGGTTTCTGGAATCAAAGAGTTAAAACCTTAAACTAAATTCTTCTAAATAACCCAGACCTAGGATGATGGTATTGTACCAGTAGCACATGCTGAGATGAAGTGCTATAACGTTTGTTCAAGTAAATGATGTTGGCCCAGTTTCAAGGTCACAGGATCGGTCAAATGTGTTAAAACATTGAAACAATGTCTTCTGAGAAGCATAGAATAATGAGTCATTATAGTTGGTCCTATTCTGTGAAGTGCTATGAAGAGTGGGATCTGGATCAACTGCCAACGCCATCTTGAAGGTCTGATTTCAGCACAATCACATGAAATATTCAAACTAACATTCTTAAGTGAAGAGCATGAAATTATCATATTTTTATATAGTGACGAAGTATGTCGTTATAACGACTTAGTATCTCGTTTTAACGATTTAGTATCTCGTAATAATCACTTGGTATTTCGTTATAATGACTTAGTTTCTCGTTATAGAATCTTAGTATCTCGTTATAGAAACTTTTTTTTAGGTCACCTGAGACAAAGTCTCAAGTGACCTATTGCGATCGCCTTTTGTCCGTCGTCGTCCGTCGTCCGTCGTGCGTCCGTAAACAATTTACATTTTCGACTTCTTCTCCAAAACCCCTGAACCAATTTCAATGAAATTTTGCAGGGACCTTCCATGGACAAAGGTCAACAAAAACAGTGGCCGGTTTAGTCCCAAGCCCCCAGGGGCCTGAAGGGCAGGGCCAAAAAGGGTTGAATTGACTAAATTTTAAAAAATCTTCTTCTCAAGACCCAGATATGGTAGAATCAAATACTCTTCATAGATGGAAGGGTCTTAAGGTGCTTTACCAAAATTGTGAATTTC